ATCTTGGGAAGGCATGTGGAAGACAGCACAGAGAATCGGTAGATAAGAAACAAAAATTAACAGGACATCTAAGACCACTGTCAACATGATGACAAAAAGGCCATACCAGATGTTCACTCGAATGTCATTACAAGCATATTCGGCCAAACCAGTGTGTTCACAATAGGTGTGTGGAATAATATTATTTTGGCAGAAAGTCAATCTTTTCAAAAGAAATATTATGGGGAAAAGGGTACAGAAACTTCTCAGAAAGACAGTCACACCGATTTTCCCAATCAGAGCACGTGTAAGAATAGTGGTGTACCTCAGGGGTAGCACATGGCAATGAAGCAGTCAAACGCCATCACCAGCAAGATCCCTGACTCAGAGATGAAGGTGGTACGGATGAAGAAGAGCTGAGTGATGCAGCGATCCAAGGAGATCTCCCCAGCGTGGAACCAGAAGATGGCCAAGGCCTGAGGTACTGTGCACGTGGAGAGGACAATGTCCGCTCCGGCCAGCATGCAGAGGAGGAGGTACGTGGGTTCACAGAGGCTGTGTTTTGTGAGGAAAATGCAGATGAGCAGGCTGTTCCTGAGCAGGGCGATGACATAGGAAACGAAGAAGGGGATGGAAATCCACATGTGCTGGTCTTCTAGCCCAGGGATGCCCAGGAAGTAGAAGATTGTGTGGCCAACACCAGTGTGGTTTAAGGAAATCATACCTGTGGAGACTACCAGAGATATCACCTTCAATCCATAGACAGAGTTGAAAATACAGATTTTCTTGCAATATTCTTTGTAAAGACACTAGGAGCTTTCGGCATATCTCCCACTCTCCATCTTCTGTGAACATGCAAACAATAAGAAACATAAGAAGTCAATAGGACATATTCTCTACCTCAATGAGTGATAGTCTAATTTGACATATATATATGTATATATATATACATATACATATATATATACCCAGCTAATCAAATAAAACACATTATTGTACGTATTTCTCCTACAAACAGAGAATTATGAATATACAAAGGAAATCATTATATGTATCTGGAAAGGCTATGTAACAAGATGTTTCTTGAACTTGACCTTGTAGTAGGTAGTTCATCATAAGGAAAAGAATGAAAAGGGAGGGAAACAAGAGAAGAAAATGTGGGTATTCAAATCCAAGTATGGCCTGTTCACTGAACAGTGTTTATTCAGCTCCAGTTAGCTGTGCATAGGGAATGCTGAAGGAAGCAGGGTGGTGTTTGTACAGGCATATTTGGCCTAAATGATGGAAATGAGATTTGAAATCTCTCTGACTTCACCACATTGTGGGCTCACTTGCAGAGAGATTCAACAGACCTTTAAGGAACATTGACGGAATCTGTGTACCTGAATAAGGCACTGCTTGTGCTCACACCTTAGGAAACGAAGTTCAGAAATGACTGAATTTGGAAAATAAGGCATTATTGCTGGAAAGGGATATGCATGATATCTGGGAGGTTTTCTGCAGGTGGAAACTTTATCAGTTAGTTCTTAGTATACATTCATTCATTCATTCATTCACTTGGTCATTCAGGAAGCAGTAACTATTTTTCAGTCACCATATTATAAACAGGGGAAATAGAAGCAATGGGAATTAGGCGAGTTCTGCCCTCATGGTTTGAGAGAAAATCAAATTTGTAAGCAGAAAGTTTGAATAATTGGAGGCGAATGCTAATTCCCCCTCATGAAGGGGTATTTAAAAATATTTAGCTTAGTAGCTTAGTATATCTTACACTCAAGAACATTATTTCTTCCATTCCAGTTGTCCTCTTGGTGCCCCTGATTTTTCTTCCTGGGGAAAAAAATCATCTCCAATTTCCATCCTCCAAGTGCTGGGAGAAAGTGTTCTGCCATCAGAGACACCAAAGAAGTCCATTCAGCTGGCCTAGGTCAGGGCACTGTCTCCTATAGAGCATATGGCTGCTCTGTGAGAACGTTCTCTCCAGTGAGGGCAGCTGATCTGCAGGAAAACCAGTAGGATGGCATCGGAGGGATGTGAGGGCCGGTGTGTGTCCCACAGACCTGATTGGGAAAGAAAAGAAGAAAATGGCAAGAAGGAAGATGCCATAGAGGACACAAACCAATAAAGGCAGGGCTGGAGAGGGGGCAGATTACAGAAGCCAGTGATGGTCATGTGTTTGGGGAAAGGGAGTAGCAGAAAAAAATTTATTTTTTGAACTTTTTTTTTCTTTTAAGTAGGCTCCATGCCCAGGGTAGAGCTCAGTGCTGGGCTCGAACTCAACAACCCTGAGATCAAGACCTGCCTGAGATCAAGAGTCAATCGCTTAAGTGACTGAGCCACCCAGGCATCCTGAAGACATTTTATTAATAGGAGCCAGTGAGAGAAGGCAGGGAGCTCAGAGGTTGAGGGTTTGCCTGCTCAATTGGTCTCCCGACCAAATTAGGATGACTTTGGTCTGACACAAATTCATCCTCAATGTCCCGTTCAATGCCCCTCCCCCGTAGTTCCCTCCTCACACCTGCCTGAGATGTCCTGGTCTGCTTCCCAAGCCCTGCTTTGGGAAGCCCAGCAGAGATACCAGTCATTCTCTGGGCTCCTGTCATGTTTGCCAAGAAGGGTTTGAAGTAAGTCATTATCTTTTCTGTTTTCTCATGTCTAACCTAATCATTAGAGCACTTGCCACATATTGGATTACTTCTCTTTCTTGAGCAACCTTCATTAACCTGAGCTACCCATATACTCTCAACCTCCCTTCCCAAACCAACCCCTCCACTTCGGCTGTAACCAACCAGATTGGTATCTCTGGTCTTTACCATTCTTGGTGCACGAAAGTCCTGTCCCCCCACCCCCACCCCCAGGCCTTCCTGGGATGTGACACCAGTCCAATCCTTACCTTGATCCTGGAACCTGCCCCTCTACACACATGTCTAATTTACTCACCAGCTCTTACTGAGATTGGAGATGACATTCAGCTTGTTGGGAGCCAGGCACAGGGCTGTTTATTCTCTTTCATGAGAGCTCTGGAGGGAAGTGCTTACATCAGGGCCCCAGGGACATGGCTGTCTCCATCAGCCTTGCCCTCCTCCAAATGCCTGGATCCCAGGTCCCTAAGTGCCATTCCCCTCCCTGGCCTTCTCCTGACTAGCTTCTTGCCCACTCCTCCCCACCTGCTCTAATCTCCATCCCACACTGAGTGTTCACATTTAAGATATTCACTACAAAAAAGCTCTCCCAGCTAAACCAGGCTTGCTACAGCCCTCTTTTAATACTTACACTGGCATTAAATATTGACTTAATGAAGAGTAAAGTTATTTTTTCAATCTGCAATAGCAATACATGTAATATGATTTTCAAATTTTTGTTTTTCATGTAAAGGATGATGTTGCAGTTATATTCATCCTGGGATTGGTCATGAGATTCGCATTTTGAAGCCATAAATAATGAATTTTCATTCTTTCCTAAGGGTCTATAAACATCCATGCATAATTTGTAGATCTCATGGGATTCTTGAGATTCATGACACATTTTTATTTCATTTGCCTACCTAGTGTACCATTCTGTTTAGTGCTTGCTCATCAAAAATCCACATTTATGGTTGCTAGGGGAAAAAATTCTCCCGCTTTGTTTATATTCTTTTATAAGTAATTTTATTTGGTTTTCCTCATTCTGAATGTAGGATGTGAACTTTTTTCAACTTGGAAATAACTTTATATTCTAACTGATTATAAAAGCAATCTTGTATATGATTGTTTTTAATCAGAAGACAGGAAGAAGAAAGTAATCCCACCTTCAGGGGAAAAAAAAAATGTGTCATTTGATGTAAATGCATATAAATATATTATCCTAGCTAGTTCTCCATACTTTATGCTCTTCTAAAAAACTAATTAGTGAAGAGAAGGAAAATATCTTTTCTACCAATCAAAGTGTCCCAGCTGGACTAAGAATTAAATTGACATGAGATAGATGAACAGGAGAAAAAAAATCAGCTTTATTATGTGCTCACAGAAGCCCAATAATGAACCTGAGACCTAAAGAAATGACCAAGGCAGGTAGTTTTTATACTTTTTAGACAAGGAGACAATAAATCTTTAATGAATTGACAGGATAAAGAAAACCGAATTTCAGGAGCTTCAATTAGTAAGGAATTCTAAACAGAACTCAGGCTGGGGTAGTTGATTAGTGCCGAGCAACAAGGGTTGTCTGTACAGACTTCTCAGCTTTAAATTTCTCACCGCTGGTGTTAAGGATGTCTCTTTTCCTGTTGGTGCAGAGTGGGTACCATCAAGAGCATGCTAGAAAGGCAAGCACGAGTTGTGTCTCTGCACAACGTCAGCTTTATTTAATCATAAAGCAAGGGTAAAGCAGGTTCAGGATTCCAAACTCAATGACATTTCACTACACACTGCACCTGGCTTCACACACATCGCACAAAGCAAAGCACAATAGAAAGTCACGCGGCAAACAAACAAGGAGTAAGAGGTTAAGGAACCAAAGCAGTCAGTCCGCGCGTGCGCAGGGCAGACGAGGCCTCGTCCAGCCTGGGTCCCTGGCCGCACGCGCTGCTTACATTCAAGCAGTGCAGGATCTCCCTTACGTTCAGAGATCAGTCGGGCAGAGCCTTCCGCAGCAGCTGCCTTTCAGTGTTGTTTATTCGCTGAATATCCTTCAACAAATCACTTGTCCCGCACTCCATTATAAACTTCCTGTCGCTCCCCTGCAAAGCGCAGGCCGTGGCAGTCACGTCCTCGCAGACCCACGTGAGCGCTGAATTACTTCTTGTGCCCAAAGTACCCAGAACAATGTCCCCAGGTTTGGACTGTTTCCATGACTACTAGCCCTTGTCCTCGTTTCCCAAGAAATGCTTTTTCTTGCTCAACCCTTCCCAGGTGGCATATACCTAAAAATCGCACAAACAGAAGTTCGCGGAAAGGGCGTTAAAAGCCCTTCTCAGAAAATACGGACCAGTCCAAAACGCCACACGAAAGCTGTTAACCTAACGAAGGCACCAACTCCAGCCAAGACCTTCAGTAGAAGCAGACCGTGTGAAGAAAGCTCTTTCCTGTTTTCTCCTCCGCCGCCAGCAGCAGCTGATCCAGACTGTCCACGTCGTCCGCCCGCTGGAGGCTCTGGCACAGCTCGCAGATGAGGAAAGCCCCGAGGGTGGCGTCCTCCAAGGTGTCTGCGATGCCCACGCTGACCACGTGCACGGGCTGGAAGGTCGCCTGCTCCCTGGCCCACAGCTCTTGCATCACTCGGTCATACACACTCTCCTCGCAGGTGAAGATGACGTCGAAGGGGTCGCTGCACTCCTGAAACCTTTCGGGGCGCGGCTTGATCCTCTCGTTTCTCCCCAAGAGGTGCAGGATTCCGTTCCTGCTGTAGCCTTCCCGGTCTTTCCTGCAAAGGTCCTCGTACATCTGCTTATACGTCGTGGAGAAATCGTAGATCACCGGGCAATTGCTTGAGGGTCCTGGGAGCTTCACCCGAGATCCGACTCCGAAAGACTGGACGTGGAACCCTCTTTTGAGGAGGATGCTGTGGGCTTCCATGCTCCTGTTCACATTGTTCCTGCACACCACAGCCACCCTGAGCGGGGACGAGGGCATGGTGGTGGCCGCTGGAGGCTGCGGGGGCGCTGCGGCCAGGGGGCTGACCACCTGGTTCCCCTCTTCCGACCAGCAGCTGTCTGAGGACAGACAGTGGGCTTATTATATTCGGTCACCTCCACGGAGTGGGCGGAGACTTTCCAGGACTTCCTGATGGACTCAGTTTCAGCCGGTGGAGTGTCCTCTGATCCTGAGACCCATAACCTAATCACAACAACTGTGAGGTGATTACCTCCACTAAGCCATTGAATCCCAACTAAACCACTGAATCTCGATCAGGGTGTGGCCACCCAACACAGGGATGTGAAACCTGCAGTTGGCCGGATTGGTCTACATGGGGAATGAGGGCTGAGGTTAACAGTGACCAGGTCAACTAGGCTAACTGTAAGCCTGTCACCGCTCTGCAGTGACCTGGCCAGGAATATGGGTGGAAAATTTGTTTTGAGGTTTTGAACTTACATCCAATTCAGTTCTACATACAATGACATATAAGTATCCTTGCACATTAACATACATTTGGATTTTCTAGAAATGCAATTGTGTAAACCATAGGATGATTGTACATAGTTTTGCCTAAAAATTTATAAAATCGTTCATCAATTCAAACAAATCACATGCTGGACAACATCCCTGCTGATAGTATATTAAAAGTTACAACACAGCGTTTTCTGCATTGAATACTCTTAAAATCATGATTCTCAAGGAAAATCAGGCATTGAACTTCCAACTAGCAAAGTGTCCCAGAACAGGAACCAGGTCACCTTCAAGGAGTGGGTGGAGACTTCTAGGACTTCTTGACTGATTCAGTTTGATCAAGTGGAGTGCAATCTAATCATGCTAACCATAATCTAATCATTAGAACAATAGATGATTAAATCACTTGTACCTCTAGTTCCCTTGACAAGGGTGCTGCTACCAGAGGGAGCATTTTTAAATCTGGAGTTATCCCTGTTGGTTTACTTTTGTATCTGGCTAGAGAGGAGGGATAGGAAAAAGGAAGAAAGGAAGTAAACTTCTGGAGGAAATGGATATGTTCATGGCACAGATTGTGGAGATGGTTTCTCAGATGTCTATTTATCTCCAAACTCATCAAGTTGTATACATTAAATATGTACAGCTTTTTGTATGTCAATCATACCTCAATAAAGTGTTTTTTAAGGACATCTTGTTACAGCTATATAAATGTCAACTAAGAGTACTGTATGGTGGGGTGCCTGGGTGGCTCAGTCAGTTAAGCATCTGCCTTTGGCTCAGGTCATGATCCCAGAGTCCTGGGATGGAGCCCTGCATCGGGCTCCCTGCTCAGCAGGAAGCCTGCTTCTCCCTCTCCCTCTGCCCCTCCCCTCTGTTCATGCTCTCTTGTGCACGCTCTCCCTCTCAAAATAAATAAATAAAATCTTTTTTTTTAATTTGTTTTTTAAAGATTTTATTTATTTTTCGACAGAGAGACAGCAAGAGAGGGAACACAAGCAGGCGGAGCTGGAGAGGGAGAAGGAGGCTCCCGGTGGAGCCGAGAGCCCCATGCTGGGCTCGATCCCAGGACCCTGAGATCATGACCTGAGCCGAAGGCAGACGTTTAACAACTGAGCTACCCAGGCACCCCCAAAAATTTTAAAACCAGTACTGTATATGGCTTTTTGAATCAGTGCAATCTGGCTAGTCAATTAAAGATATCTCAAAGAACTTACCAACATAGATCTCATTTTTCAAAACCATCAAAAAGGCCAATTTTATCAAATGATTTTATTGCTTAAATCTTTTAAGTCATATAAAGAGAACACACAGAAGCAGAGAGTAGAATGGCAGTTACCAGGGGCTGGGAGAACTGGGGAGCCACCTCTCATTCTGCCCCCAAGGTGGCTACAGATGCTGTAGAACGGATGTATAGTTTCAGTTATGCAAGATGATTGAGTTCTAAAGATATTCTGTACATAGTGCCCATAATTAACAATATTGTTTTGCACACATAAAAAAATTGTTAAGAGGGTAAAAAAAAAAATATCAACACCTGGAGCCCATCCCAGACCAACTGAATCAGAATCTCTAGGTACGGAATGTACTGTCATCCTAATTTTATCTGCTTCCTGTCAGATAATTCCTGTCATCCCTTCACCCACCCACCCTTTACATTTCAAAATGTATTTAATGCCAGAATTTAGTCCATACACATTTGGTGTAAGGACTGTTGTACTTTACTTCATTCCTTGTGTTTTATTTATTTTACATTTTTGTTTCTGCCCTTGATTTTCTTTATTTTTGAGATTCTTATCAAGTTGTTATACATTCCATTCTGTCCTTGTTAATTTTGAAGTTCTACTTTGATTTTCCATTCCATTAAATGGCTACCTACACTTTCTCTTCCCTTCCTAATCACATCACATTTCCCTGCTATTATTTGAAGACAGGAGTTTTGTAAATCTCTTAATTCTTTTTCACTGACCGTATTCCTAACTCCCAGGTTTTGCTGAGACATTTTGTTAATTCTAGTTCAGTGGTCCTAATCTAATTTATCTTGGAGATAGCGCCTTTGATTTCTGAGTCCCTATAACTTAGAATGGACTTTGCCTGAAGGCTCATCTTCTTTTTCCATTAGACTTCATAATAAATTATTTAAATATTTAATCCAAACTTCAGTGCCTGCCTCTGCTTTCTTTCTTTTCTTCACATTCCCCTGCCCTCATTTTGTTCTGGTTCACATACCATAATGTTTGAAAAATCTCTCTTTTTTTTTTTTCCTCTGGAGTATTTTTGTCAGTGGGGAAAATGGGAGATACAGACATTCTGAGTTGCTTTGTATTTTTCTTTCACCCTGACAGATGAGCTGCATCGTGGCTGGATAGAGGTTGGGTGTAGTCCTTAACTGCCATTTCACTGTCTTTGTTCCAGCATTAGATATAAAAAATCTAATTCCAGCATGATTCTTCTTTTATACATAACATGTTCTTTTTAGCTTAATGTTTGTAATATTTTTCTCTTTTTCCTTAGAGCGAAAAAATCAGCATAGGCCTTTCTACTTCAGTGGTTGTCAATCTTTTATTCATTATCACCAAACTAAGGAGCCTTTTAGACATTTTTTCCTAATTCCCCCTATGAAATTTTAATAGCACAGATAAATCGCATATCTGCTTCTGTACTGTATCTGTGTTTTATACATAAAAGAGTAAGATTTTTTTTCCCACCACCACCACTACCAGCCCCTGAACTCATTTTCGCCTCCTTAGGGGTAATATCACCCCTGTTGAGGAAGCATGGTCTAGCCTGAAACACACTGAGCCTCTTATAACAGCTCAAGAAATAGTCTACTAGTCTATTATTGTCTATTAGTTCATTATGGTCTCCCATCCGTTAATGCAACTTACTTCTTCTGAAATTCTAGTAATTTACATTTCGTTATTCTTGATTTATCTTTACATTTTTGCTGCTTGTTTTGAGATATTTCTCAAATCTAATTTGTATCTCAAGAAAGACCATCTCTTCCTTCAATTCATTCACTAAATTATTTATAAGAGAAATTACATTAGGGACTCAGAAAATCTTTTTTGTCATCCTCCTCCATCAATTTCTTTAATGGAATTTACCTTTCATCTGAGTTGTCTTCTTTCTCCCCTAGCACCTGTATGTCACTGGGGGAATGTGCAGTTGGTTCAGACTAACCGGACAAAGGGCTTGTACACCCAGCTCACTGAGGCTCAGGTCTGGTTGTTCCTAGACCCCAAATGGGAGCAGACCCAGAGATGGTGGAAGGCAAAGTGGTCTCTATTCTCCACCACCAGGGTGGTGGTGAAGAACAAGGAAGTGGCAGCTCTCCTCTGATGCACCTGAAAAAGTCTTCCAGCCCCCTCACCTCCTACATTCCACTCATGATTTCACCTTGGCTTTTTGAGTCCGTGGAGAGTCCAGTCTCAGAATACCAAAATCAACCCCCCCAACTTCCCTCCTTAGCGCTTAAGCATAGGCACTAACTTAATAGCATTCAGAAAGCACTCCCACACACCCTAGTTCTGCCATCAGGCCTTCAAGCAACCAAGATCTCCTTCCTGTGCTATCATTTTACAACTCTCTTACAGCGCATGGGATGGATATAATGATCTACTCACCCCAACCCTAAGTTAGTCCATCTCTAAGATACGTATACCGTCTGTTTCATTAAAGGGTGGCAGAAAACTGAGGTTTGTGTCCTTCTTACTGTGGTCTCGCTGGATGAGGGGAGTGGCACCCAGGCTGAGGAACCCTGGGATGCAGTGACAGCACCCCAGGGTGCCTCCAATCAGCTGAGGAGACCCCAGCAGGTGCTTTGACTTTGCCCAGACAGAGTGTCCACGAGGACAAGATCCCCAGGACAGAGCTTCCAGTTCTCACCTGAGGCACACAGCCACCTTTCATTCTGCCCCCCAAGGTGGCCACAGATGCTGCTGAACATCCCACTCTTGGAGCCAGGTCCTGGGAGAGCCTGGGGAAGGACTCGGGCCTGCCTGACTGCTGCCTTTCTTCCGCTGCCAACCCACGGGAAAGGGAAAGTTGAAGTGTGGCAGGTAAGGCTGGTGGGCAAGGGCAGAAAGGGCACTGGGGCATGAGGGGCAAGGGGGAGGAGGAATAGATGGTCAAGCAGAGAATCAGAGAATGAGTATTCTCAAGACCGAGGGAGAGAGTGTCCGCGAGGGCTGAGTGCTCACCTGCTTAGATGCTGCTGAGATGACTTGTGGAGTAGTAAGAGCCCAGAGGGTATTGCATTTGGCTGGGGGAGGTTGGCAGGAACACAGTGTCCCACGTACACTGAAGTCTAGACAGCTCAAGACGTGGCACTGGAATTAGGGTTTATAGAAGAGAGGCATGTTAAAAGTTCTCCCCTTACCTGCTTTCAGAATAATGAATTAGTCCCCTAGAACTTCCAAAAAGAAATCTTTTTTTTCAGACTCAGAATAATCTTTTGGTTTATAAAACCTGTAATAGATGGGTTTCAATCCATGATAGATATCATTATTTTTGATGTTCAAACTGTC